TTCTTAGCGGTCTATAAAATAACAATGCATACTATAATCATGGTTTCTCATATTTGATGAAAAAAGTTTCTGTTACAAATATTACATATGATATTTGAAACGACCCTCAAGCTTATAGATAGGATGTTGAAGAAATGGTCTCACAAGCTCCAGACCCCCTGGCCTGTTCTAAACCACTTTCTGTCTGTGCTGCTCACTGGGCACTCTCCCTTTAGCATGTGGGGCTGTTGACTTGCCCGAGTGGCTTCTTGTGACTTCTGGGATAAAGGCCGAGCTCTCTAACATAGCCAGAGACCTGCCGGTCCTGCCTGCTCTCCAGCTGGGCCAACACCACACTCGGACTCTCTCCTCTCCAGTTTTGTCTTGGCATTTTCAGCCTTCTGTGCCCCTGACATCACAGAGCCCTGGCATAACAGCTCTGCCAGGAACACTTCTCTCTCCCTGGTTGGCTTAGCTGGGGGCATCTCCAGCATTCAGGGCTTTGGGGATGCCGCCCTTGATGGGCTCAAACCCCCACTGCAGGTGCCTGCCATGCTGCCTGATTCTCTCATGCTGTACATACCAGCTGCCAGTCTACGTTTGTGTGATTTGTGAGCAGTGTTTGAAGCCTTCATTGGATCGAGCATCCGTGAAAGCAGAAAATGGGCCTATTTTTACTCAACATGGGGTTTCTGGAGTCGAGGTGAGAATCTGGAAGTTGGTAGATGTCTGACTGTTATTTAGGAATCTGGGAATAATCTGCCTCTACAAGCTGAGAGGACACTCCTGGAATCTGGACAGTTAGGGGAAACAGAAAGAGCGGGATACTTGCCATCTGAAGGCCTCCACTTTGCCACTGATGATGTAACCTTGGGTAAGTCAAGACCTCTGTTTCCTCATCTCTAAATCAGGAATATCATTTACCCTGTCTCTATGATAGGGATGTTTTGTGAGGCTGTGAAGGCACTTTGAAACTATATGGTCGGCCGAGTGCAGTGGCTCAAGCCTGTAATCCCAGCACTTTGGGAGGCTGAGGTAAGAAGATTACCTAAGCTCAGGGGTTCGAGACCAGCCTGGGCAATTTGGTGAGACCTCATCTCTGCAATTAAAAAAAAAAAAAGCTGGGCATGGTAGCGCATGCCTGTAGTTCCAGCTACTTGGAAGGCTAAGGCAGAAGGATCGCCTGAACCCAGCAGGTTGAGGCAGTGGTGGCCGTGAGTGTGCCACTGTACTCCAGCCTGGACAACAGAGTGAGACTGACTCCAAAAAAAGAAAAAGAAACTATATAATCCATCTCTGTACCCCCAAGTTTCTAGCAGAGCGTTGGACCCATGCTCTGTCGCTGTCTATATAAGTGGGTTGCCTGGCCCCTCCTCTAGGACAAGGGAAATGAGATCTTAACATCCTCAGAAAGGGTGCTCAAAGCTTTTGGTCATGGAATCTCCTGCTCTCCAATCTTGTCTTTCCTCTTCACAAGTCCTCATGGAATTTCTCAGACCTTCAGGGCCCAGGGGCCTAGTCTTTAAGGAAAGGAAGTTCCTATTGGAATAACTTTTGGTCTTCAATCTCAACACAAAGTTGGGTCCTTAGCTAGAATAGGGGAAGGGTGGAGAAGAGAAAGATGCTACTTGCCTTCCTGCTCTGCAGGCTGGTTTTTAGACAGGGACAGGGCCGGTAGGAACATACCTGTGCCTTCAGGGATGTCGCTCTTGGGACAATTATCTGCAGGTGTATGCATCCTACCTCCACCTGGCAGAATACAGGCAGTGGCTTACTTTGCCTCTGGGATCTGAACTGTAATATTAAGGTGGATATTTGCAGTGAAGCCTCACTGCTTTCTCTTGTGTACCTCATCTCAGAGATGTGCGGCATCCTGGGTTTCCGTTTCATCTGTATCAACTGGCTATAGCTGATACAAGTCACTTTCCCTTTCTGAGTCAATTTTCTCATTAGTTACATGGAAATAATAATATAATAACAACAACAATAAACCACCTACTTTCCTGTCTCACAGAATCCTTTAAAGAATCAAGTGAGGTCACAGACATAAGTGCTTGGTAAGTGAAAAGTCCATGATAACGAAAGGTGATGTTATTTTCTCTGTGTATTTGAAATCCCTGCTTTCTGTAGCAGGAAAGCACCATGCTGACTTAGTTATTCCCAATTAACTCAAATATTACCCAAGTCCTGCAATCCATAAAGCATGTAGTCAGGAAGTGAGAGGTGAACAAATCCTCATCACAAATCAATTCTCAAGCATCTCCCCAGGGCCAGCCATCCTCCCTCTGGAGAAGGGTGCTCTGAGGTTATGCATTCTCTAATTGTTTTAACAGCTTGGTTGCCCAGCCAGCATCCTCCCAGAAAACCAGATTGGTGAGGAAAGGTGCTGAGTGAATAATTAACTAGCACCTCAGCGACTCTGGATTCTGTGGAGGGGGTGGAAGGCTATGCTACAGACACACACCCCTGCAGAGTAATTCTAGCTGGATGCCGCAGCAGGGTGGAGGTGAACATGCTTCTGCAAAGCACCCAGGACGCATTAATGACTGGGTGCTGGTGCTCAGAGCTTCCAGTCAGCCAGGACCTCTTTGGTGCATGATCTGTTCAGCAGCTCTGACAGGGATTCACTGGCATCCTGGAGGAACACGGAGCCCAGGCCATCTGCGCCTCTGCTCTCCAGCCGGAAGCTACCCGCTAGTTCCTGGATCCACTGGAGATCTGCCGAGAGCTCCTGTCTCAGAGCTTCAAACTGGGCCTGCAGATGATCCAGTTTCCTGGCCACACTTCCGAGGCTGGACCCTGTCGCCTGGATGTCTTCTCGTAGGAGCTTCCTTGAGGACTCTACCTTGCGGAACTCATATCTGAGCTGGGACACATCGTGCCAGGCACTCTCGCTCTCCTCTCGGTACCAAGCTTCCTTCTCATTGAAGATGGACACCAGGGCCTCCACATCATCCTGGATAGTATCATAAGTCCCTGCCAGGGCACAGCAACCCTGGTCCACCTGGGCCACATCCTCCACCACACGGGCAAAACGCTCGAAATTGACATAGGTGTTGTTGGGGGGCATGCTTGAGTGGCATTTGAGGGTGTACTCTCTCAGGCGCTTGGTCTTAAGCTGAGTGGGCTCTGTCTTGCGCTGTTCAGGGGCTCTGACTTCTCCTTCCGACTGGTGGATGTTCAGACAGAAGAACCAGAGTGTTAATCTCCCACATGCTCCAGAGGGCAGTCCAAGGTGTGGGTAGAAGACACACACACTGCCTCTTTGGCGTTCCCTGCATGCATCAGGCCGTGGGAGGGCCAGGGTGGGGCAAGCGCCCCCACAGACCATAAGAAAGGTTCAGGAGTGTGGGCATGCTGCCCGCATGCTCATTTCCGGGCAGAAGGACCCTTGGCCATTAGAGAGGACCTCCACACACACAGCATTAAGGGGTGCTAACACAAGCAGGCTACAGCAAGAATTCTGCAGGCATCCACTCAAGGGCAGACACACAAGGCCATGGCTGGCACAGGGAGGCTGAGGAGCATCTCTCCTTCAGGGCCTCTTGGGCCTTGGCAACACTCAGCATGCCGACAGGAGCAGCCCAAGAGACTCCCATACCTGGGAGGCCCCTGGCCTTCCCTATCCTTCAATGAGCCAATGAAGCAGACCTCCTCCCAGCCCTCCTTGCTCTCCATATCCCACAGGCCTCAACCCCTCTTCTTCTTTTAAAATTTAATTTTAGGGTTGTGAGGTACATGGGAGTATTTGCCACATGAGGAAATTGCATGCAGGTGAGGTTTGGGCTTCAGGCGAGCCCTCTCTCCCCTGGTAGTGGACATGGCGCCCAGTGGCTGATTGTGTATCCCTTGTTCCCCCTTCTAGCAGTGTCCAGGTCAGTTGTTCCCGTCTTTGTGCTCACATGCCCAATGTTTCAGGCCCACTCATGGCCTCACCCCTTCTTTTTTTTTTTGAGTCAGAGTCTCACTCTGTCACCCAGGCTGGAGTGCAGTGGCACACTCACAGCCACCTCAGCCTTGACCTGCTGGGCTCAGGCAGTTCTTCTGCCTCAGCCTTCCAAGTAGCAGGAACTACAGGTGCGCGCCACCACGCCCGGCTAATTTTTTTGATTTATCGTAGAGACAGGGTCTCACCAAGTTGCCCAGGCTGGTCTCGAACCCCTGGACTCAGGCAATCCTCTTACCTCAGCCTCCCAAAGTGCTGAGATTACAGGTGTGAGTCACCGCACCAGGCGAGTCTCACTCCTTATCTGTATACTCAGACCATCCTCACTGGCCTTCTCATTTAATAATTAAGGTTGAATGGGAAGTCTGGTGACATCCCTGAGTGTGCATAGCTGGCCAGCCAGCAGAACGAGAGCTAGGATCCTAGTCTCTGAGTCCCACCCTCACAAGTGCTTTTCACTATACCAGACCATGAGACCCTCTAAACAATCAGCAGCTAGAAGCTCAGCTGCAAGGCGAGTTAGACAAGCATTCACCTTTTTGCTCTGACCCTCTCCAGAGGAAATGAAATTTCTCTAACAGTGGCTGCCATCCCCATTTCTGAGGCCTCATGGGGCCTGAGGGAGCCGGATGACTGATCCGAGCATCATCCTTGACTCAGAGCCCTGCAAGTCTGCAAGTCTGAGAGGAGGAGCCCTGGTTACAAAGCTGGGGTTTTGAATTACCACTGGTCTCTCTATGACCTGGGAGTCCTGATTTCTGCCTGGAGAAGTGGCAGTGATACCTCCCCTCCAGGAAGAACACTTTGCAAGTTAGCCCCCAAGGGCCTTCAACTGAGGCTTGTGAGGATTTCATTTCATGAGTTACCTGAAGCGGTGAAATGCAAGCATAAAGTAGAGTAAACCTATCTGAACAAGCCCAGGCCCTCGGCAGCCCCTGACTTGCTTTCGTCTGAGCCAAGGTCAGTGTTTCAAGCAAAGACCTCCCCACCGGCTCTCTGCACCTGGCTGTCCCAGCTGGCCCTGGCAACAGAGCGGGGACCCTCTGCCCAAGGAAACTCGCGGCTGTGCCCTTACCGTGATCCAGGGATGTCTGAGAGCCTCCTGGATTGTGAGCCGTTTCCTGCAATGAGGATTAGGAAACAATGATGTCCCATGAGGACAGAGGCTGGGAGCAAGTCTTCATTTCCACTCTTTCAAAACCTCTGTGTTGGCATTCTTTGACCCCCGCCATCAAACCAGTATAATGCAGAGAAGGATGGCAACTAGTTGCACACCCTGCACTCCAGGGGAGGGGGCCCAGGTAGAGCCTTCGATAGTGACTTTCCTTCCTAGACCCTCACCTTCAGTCCCAAAGCCAAAAGGCCTGATGCTACACTGGAAAAGAATCTGAAGTAGTCTGCTGGGCTTCCAGAATCCTTCCTAAGCCAGCTTTCCATTGCTAAACCTCTGGTCTTCGTTTTTCTCTTTCCCTTCCAGATCCCTCCCCTGCCTTTTGCTGCTCTGTACCCAGGTAAGTGACCCTTCTTAGCACTGCGCTTAGGCAGGAAAACCAGGACCCCTGCACTTCAGAGAACCCCACTCTGGCACTCTCTGAAGTCTGGGACTGAGAGGACATGGCGTGCTAGTCGGTGGCCCTTTTCTCTGCCCCATCCAGGTCATGCTGTGGGCACCCAGTACCCTATGATTCCTTGCCCATCCCTTTTTGACTCCACAGCCACGGGGCTCACTTTGGGCCCTGAAGAAGGGGTAGGATTAACATGTCTCCCATCTTCCCTCTGTACTGACCTTTGTGAGCCCACTTCCTTCCACTGAACCCCAACCTGAATTGGCTTGAAAACCCCAATTCAAAATGGAAAATCTGAGTTCCAGGTGCCTTTGGGACAGACCACACAGTAATGAGCCCTAAGGAAATCCAGTCTGACTTCCTACACACACACACACACACACACACACACACACACACACACACACACACACA